AGACGACCAGACGCTGCTAAACTTAGCAGGCTATCAGAAGAGTGTTTACCAACGACAAACTCGTTGGGTTTAAACTTCTGGCTGACCACGTCTTAGGGTCATCACTACCCCACTAGGGGAGGGGGGGTGATCTGTAGCGTTAAATAAATCCCCAAAATAAATAGCTCTGTAAGTTTTCGACGTTGGATGCTGACCACATGTTTTAGTGGACTCACCTAGCCGAAGGCGCTCGGTCATGCATCCGCACCAGATCACGTGTGGTAACGCCCTGTTCAACATCTATCACAATCACTAGCCAGATTAGATCAGACAATTCCGATATATTGGTTATCGCCAAATACACTCTTCCGATCTCCTCGACTCCGTCTTTTGATTTCTCTTGATGGGTACGAATTATATTCGAAGGTGTTGCTGGTAAAAGCGTTGTCAAACATTAAATACATGTGCCATCTTCAGCCGTATGATCGAAGGCCATATTCTTCTACTGTAGTGACAACTTTGGTACTGATATTGTTTGAGTGGCTTGTTGTATAACATGTATCAAATTACCTACAATTCCGTCCTCTCCCTATCTTAGCAATTGACGTTCCTACGGAAGTCGATTCTAGGGGGAAGTTAATGTAACAGCATAGGTTCGTTGGTTGGTTAGGAGTTCACCTCAAACAACCAAGCATACGCCAAAACAATATAGTTCAAATATTTATTCACTTCCTTATTTTGTATAAGCGTTATATTTCCTATTATCTTATATTGAATGTTGAGAGGCTTTGTTTGTCTAATTAAATAACCCCACGCTCCACTGTGACTGTGCGAAGATCGAAATAAAGACCTATTCACTACTTTTCTGGATTCTTCTTTCAATAGCACGAGGGTTACCTTAAGGCACGAAAAATTCATTACCTCAGCACGTGGTTGGGGCTCTATCCGTCGACTTTTTCAGTCTTCAGCAATAAGGATAGGAGGTCTGTCGACCTATATTAATCCTTGCATTTGTAATACTGTGGAGGTCCAATCTCGTATTGAATAAATCAACAGAAGGTGCTGATATTACGTGTTCCGGTAGAGAATTCCAGTAATTCACCACCTAATGCGAGAAGCGAAACTCCAGACGTAAACGATTTGATCTCGGTTTTTGAACATCGAATGTCCTCTCAAATGATCGGTCCTAGACGGAAGCAAGAGATAAGACATGTTAATGCCATGGTCATCGTTCAGTATACGATTAGCCAATATTGATCACCCCGTACTCTACTGTAAAATAACGGAACTAAGTTGAGGTGTCTCAGTTTGTCTTCATATAATAGGTCAGATAGACCTTGTATCACCTTAGTACCTCGTCGTTGGACTCTTTCCAGCATCTCCGCTTCATACTTGAAACAAGGGCTCGCTGCTTGAATCCCATATTCTAAATGTGATCTCACATAAATCGGGTATAATAGTCTAAACATTTCATCATCTAAATACTAGAAAGACCTATGAATAGACCATAATACCCTATCGCCTTTCGCAGCAGCAACCTTACAGTGACTAGTAATCTTGAGATCACTGCTTAATATGACTCCTTAATCTTTATAGTTTCTTACTTTGGGTAACACTAATCCACCTATTGTGTAGTGATACGATTCATCATAGTTATTTATTTTCATCACTACACTCTTATTAAGATTTTCTTCTGATGACCATCTGTCCAACTATACCAGCAATGAGCTAAGATCATTCTGTAATACTATTCTATCCGACATACTGTGTATGAGTCTCCAAATCTTTATGTCATCAGTGAAGAGTAGAACGAATGATTTTGCTATAGTTGGTAATTCATTTACATAATGTAAAAAGAGAAGAGGACCGAGGATTGTACCTTGGAGAACTTCACTTTCTACAGGTACCCACGAGGAGAGAGCCCCATTTACCCCCACCCTTTGTCTCTTCTCATGCATAAAGTTACTTATCCAATCTACTGCTGTATAATGGATTCCAAAACGTTCCAGTTTGAATCTAAGACCAGAGCGGGAGACTTTATCGAAGGCCTTACTTAGATCTATGTAGATCACATCCAGAGGTATATTCTGATCTTTTGCAGCAGCCCAATCTTCTCTTGCAATGAGAAGATTTGCCAAGCATGATAGGCCTCTCCGAAAGCCATGTTGTTCCCTGGAGAAAAGATTATGACCTTCAACATGGTTTATAACAGATATTCGAGTGATTTTTTCCATCAGTTTAACAACTGCACTAGTTAAGCTAACGGGCCTATAGTTACTAACTAAACCCCTACTCCCAGCCTTATACATGGGACTTATTATAGCGTCTTTCCAGTCTCTGGGGGGTCTGGACTGCCTTAGAGACATGGTTAGCACCAAAAAGTGTGGGTTCGGATATATGCTGCACTAGTGCATGCTCCATTATTGTTACCAGGAACCTACTATCAAAGGATTTTATAGATCTCTCCGTAGTCATCTCAATCCAACTAATATCAGGTGCATTAAGGTCTCCTATTATCAAGCATCTGGTATTTGCACTCCAAAGATGAATGTGCTCTAAAATAAAGTCATCAGCTACGCTAATTGGGCTGCGATAGATGACACCGAGCATAAATGTACTACATCCGATAGCCAATTTACAGCTAATGATTTCACATATACAGCTATCATGGGATTCGCTAGCAGAGGAGCGGATATTTATATTCGCTGAAAAATTCCCATTATATTAAAACACAATTGTATGAACGAAGAATGTTCTTTTCAATAATTTCTCATCAGGTTCTACAATTATAAATCCAGATTAATAATCCATAAAATTGGCCAGATTTAAGACAAAATACATCATTTGGAAATTGTAATATGTGAATCAGGAATGGTTTGTTATATAAATAAAATCGTTAATGTTGGGATGACTAATATGAAGTGTTAACTTGAATCAGTTTATAAGCGAAATGAAATTGTGAGATAAATTATCAGAATAAATATGGTCAACATAGGGTAGGAGAAAGAGAAAGAGAGAGAGAGGGAGAGAATATTGTGAATACAAATCGGAAACTGCGTAATATGTAAAATAATTGGTTCAAATGTAGTAGATTTAGGGGTGGATATTGAATAAATTCCTCAAAAAAGGTTATCAAGTGTATAGACAATAATAGTAATAATAATAATAATAAGTTTGGGACATAAAATGAACATTAACCAGATTACGTCACCGCATTATAAGATTGATTATTAGCTAGTTGGCCCCAGAGTTGGCCAGGGTAAAAGGAGTGGATGAACATACTTCTTTTGTATACAAAGCTCTGGCTTTTTGATCCGTATAGCAATTGCTTCAGCCGTCTGTAGGATTCGCAGTCTGACGGAATTAGGTAGACTGCTGTTGACACGATAGATTATTGCAAAAGATTGCTCCATGTTTGCTGTATGTCCTGTTTGGACTAAATGGTCTAAGATGGAGCTGTTAACAGTTTTGACAACACCTTTGCTTAACCACACGGGTAGGTGCTCACGAGCCCAAATGTACAAATTCCTAGAACATCTGCCAATATAACTTGCTCCACAGGAGCAGTTGAACTGATAGATACAGAAGGAGGTGGCTAGTCTAGGTAATTTATTTTTCAACCTCGGAGTGATTATTGGTCGTGTGGAGAATACTAGTTGTAGTTTAGCTGCATCAATTCAAAGGACTCCTTTAGAGTCATCTGGTAAGATACTACGAATATATTCTCCCAGCGTCTCTAAATCATGCGCGTGTCTAATTTTTGGATCAGGGTCGTTTGACTCGAGCAATTTGCTTACAATAATATTCGATGAGATTAGATTCTTCTTCTCGCTCACGCCAGGGTGGGTTTCTCTCTTACTATCAGATTTTGGCAGCTCATCAGGTTTTGGTAGTGCAGTTAGTGACTCAAAGTGGGAGTTCACCAGTGACTTGCTAACCATCTGCGCACTGCATACAGCCTTTTTCTCTTCGTTTCGTTTTCTCCGTGCTGTAGTCCATTTTTCATCCCTCAGGACACTGTGACTATTTGGAGCAGTGACTGTTTTATCCAGATCTTCAGTTTACACTGGAGGGCATGGTTACCGGTATCAGTATCAGGTGGTGCTACACCCGTCGTTAATGGTAACGGAGATTTTACTTTGCCGTCAGTCAAAGTCGGTTGTTTAAAACGTCTCGTAACAGCACGTACTACACTGACACATTCGTCACTGTCAGTACTCGTGTTATCAGCGCATGCGCAATCGTTCTTCTTACAGACCAGAGCCAATAGGCTCATAGCCTCCTGTATTGGTAATGACTTATTTGCACAGCAAAACATGCAGAGCCAATGTGAGTTAAGATTCGAACATCTTTTGTATGCAGTGGGATTTAAACGGGTGCACATCTTATGGAACCACTTTTTGCATTCATCACACCGCATTCCTTCCTCCACTGGGAACAAACAGTTTGGTTGTCCACATTTGTGACTACTACCAACCGTTCTAGTCAGATTAAGGTGTAAAACACAATATGATCGATGTATGAACACAGTGTCACTCAACGAGCAAAAGGGTACTACAAGACAAGCCTTAGCAAGATTTCAAACTTCAAATAATGTACTTTGATTCAGACCAAGGATGCTTTTGATGCAACAATTACACAAAAGCAAGGATAATCACAACAAGTACAAAATCACTGCCCTTTTTGAAACACCGAAGATAAACTAGCATGGAAGCAGAAACGATGCTGTAATCGAATACTTTAACTTAAATTAATTCAATTAAAGTGAAAACAGTAGTCCTGATACATTATAACGATCAAAACAATAGAATTTACTCAACGAGGAAAAATACCACTGTTCTTTTGATTAGCGCGCGCGATGGATCAACCGAGATACCACCGTTGCCAGGACTAACACAGGCCATCAAGCCTCCTGTCCTTCCCAAACTGAAACTGAAACTGAAGTCAGTCAGCCTGCTGTTCTTATTCATGAACGATAAAGATATCGAATTCCAAGGTCGCTGTTTAACCGTGGACGTAACAAGTAAGTATCCTTTGAATTTGTGTTGTTAATGTCAAGGTCCTGATGCAGACTTGCCGTAATTTAACACCGTCATTTACTAGTGTTCACCGGTTTTGTGTTTCACTACATACCATTGTCTCTGTTCACTAATTGTGAACTGACGATACGTACATACATACGCGCGTCATCCTATCTCATAATTGCAGGTCACAAATATTAGCCAAGTACCAGAAAATGAGTTACAACTACATAGTTTCTTGGTTGCTTATAACATTCACTGCTGCCGTATCATGTGTCCTAACTTATGTATTCTCTAGATACCAACACGATCCTTACATGGATGAAGTTTTTCATGTGCGCCAAACATTAAAATATATTCAAGGAAACTGGAAGTTCTGGGATAGCAAGATCACCACACCTCCGGGTCTTTATGTGGCTTATGTGTCCGCTCACAAAGTTTTGAGTTTATTAGGTGTACTTCCACCTGAACCTACTGCAATGCATTTTAGGTTTTCGAGTGTCCTGTTCAGTATAATTAATCATGTGATTATACTTAGGATTGTTAAAATCATGAAATGCAACTCTCCTAACATTCTAGCCATCACTATCGCATCAGAACCATTATTCCTCTTTTTCTCTGCCTTCTACTACACTGATCATTGCTCGATATTATTCGTCATGGCGTCTGTTTACTTTATTTTATTACATCGCGACTGGTTAAGTGCTCTGTTTGTCTCCTATGCTGTCTTCACACGCCAATCTAATATTATATGGGTTCCTCTGCTTATGTGCATCCACACTTCCGGGAATCTATCACAAAATATGTTCGGACATGACCGATGTTCCTCAACCATGTGGATCAAAAGATTACTGTACATGTTCATCACACATCCACTTTCTGTCACACTTGTTATGCTGAAAAGTGTCTTCCGACCGTGTTTACCTTTTGTCTTAGTTTTATTTTCGTTTATATCTTTTGTTATTATTAATAAAGGTATTGTTTTGGGTGATAGAGAAGCACATACTGCAGTTTTGAACATCCCTCAATTTTTCTACTTTGCTACTTTTTGTGCACTTTCCACTCCTATTCAGTTTGTGGGTTACATAGTAAATAGCATAAAATCATTTAGAAACTTGCTTGTTAATCGAAGTTGGAGGGTGTTAACTATATTTCTTCTGCTCACACCAACTTTTGTCCTAATTATATTAATATCTTTGAAGTATTGTCTTTTTATCCATCCCTATTTGATTTCTGACAATAGGCATTATACCTTTTATATCTGGCGAAAAATAATATATAGAAATGTTTCCACGTACTACGGTCTGTCTGTTGTTTATCTAGTAGCTACAGCGTACTTTGTGAACACCTTGTTCTTTTCTTATCGAAACATACCATTCGGTCCTTTTATAGAACGCTTAGTTTTCTTAGTGTGCACTTTCATTGTTGTAATTGCTTCTGGTTTACTCGAATTGCGATATTTCTTGATCCCATTTGTGTTATGGCGCGTCTTCTCCTTTTCACATACTCATTATAAGTATTTGCTCTGTGAAGTTTTATGGAATTTATTGATTGTGTTTATTACAGCATATCTCTTTATCTTTAAGCCGTTTGAATGGCCAAGTGAACCTGGTGTGTATCAAAGGTTTATGTGGTAGCTTTTTTAAAATGCCTTTTAAATAACATTTTATTCATGTCTAAACGCGCATTAATGTGACTGAGATTTATTGAAAATATCGAATGACTGTAATGCGAGCTGTTAAAATCGTAACTAATTTATGTGCAACACATTTGTTCATGAAATGTATTTTTAAACTTGGAACTTCTTCAAAATACCGTGACAGTTGTTACTAGTCAGCCGAGTTACTTCAAATACCTTCGGTTGATAATTATACATTTTTCTATGTAACAAAATACAATCATCTACTGTGTTTTAGTATTCTGGACGACACTTAAAATAACTTACTGGATATAATTCAAGCATTGGTTATTCTGTTTGTTTTTTTCAAATGGAGAAATAAGAAATTTTTTTTGTGAGTAGGGATTAAGATATTTAAACATATCTCGAAGACATTACTTTTATGAAATACGTATAAGTTCATATGGTCTTTAGAAGTTATTACGACGGAAAGAGTTACGAGGCTGCCGTTAGAATGTATTCTGATGCAGCATCGATTCGTGTAGTTCTCAGCAAACTGTCAAGATACTTATTGATATCTCACTAATATGTTTAACTAGAAATAAATTCAGATGATTTATAAATCTGTAGTTCCGAAATTTAATTTAGGATTTATTTTTATTTTTAAAACTTACTGTTATATGACCTTTTAATTAAGTGAACTCACAAATTACTTACCCAAATTCGCTAATTCAAACTTCTAAATATCTCATTATTTTTAACGTCAAGTGCTGTATCTGAAAAAAACAGTTTGTTCAGTACTGGTCGATGTTTAACTATTATTGCGAAACATAGTTCTACCATATGCTTCACGTTATGACAGTTGAAATTTGCACTAGTAAGTGATAATGTTAGGTTTATTGAAATGCTATTCAGTTTCAATCTTAAACGATATTTCAATTCATTCATTAACTTAAGCCCAACTATTTTAACCAACCAACTAAAAGAGAACATGAAGAATGCTGTGTAAGTCTGAATATGTATGTACCAACATATGAAATTTGTTGATTCGAAAGAACAGCATAAATCTGTTTTGTTAAAAAGTACTCATTTACAATATAATAGATAATACTCAGTAGAATCCACAAGTTTCGAAATTCCTAACTAGAATTATACCGTATTTACATCCTTTATCCAATATCCAGAATGTGAACCTTTAGTTAGCATTCACTTAGTGGAGATGTTTATTGAAAATATATTCAGGCTTCACATGTGCATTGTCAGATTATTAGGAATATAGAAGTACTTGACTAGCGCTATTTTAATGAGTAGTAAGAATTAAACCACAACGCTTGTAATTAATCCACTTCATAACTAATGATTTTCTAACTCTTCAGTAGATCAGATTTGGATTTCAATTTCCTAACGATCGGCAATGAATATAGGATAACTAGTGTTTATGCTTCTCTATTTAATGCCTAGCGAAGTTTTTTCAAAAGACATCTATCAATTAACTTAAGCTGAACAAGAACAGACCTAAGGAAACCGTCGTCATGAGGTAAATCATCTCAGCACATGCTATTTACTCAAATACTTGTGATTGGGGTTCAGTTAAAAAATAACTGAATTGACTACATTCAGTAATTTACTTCAATACTGCCTATCCCAGTCTTATATACCTCTGCAATATGCCTTTAAGACTAACTTTTTTGAATTCAGGACTTGATCTGACTAGAGGAATTCTTACTGACTTGTATTGTACAAACAATATAATTTTGCTGAGTAACTGTTGAAAAATACAGTCTTCCAGACAAACTAAGTAACAGTACTGATTAGTACTCGTTCCTTTAAACCTAAGCGCAAACAGTCGTTTCAGATTTGGCTTGTATTGATGCCTATTGCAACAATATAAATGAAATAACTATATAAACTAATTCACCCAAAGAGTCATCGTTTTAGGTTAGGTTGACAGTTAATAGTGTCGGGACGGATACAAAAGCTGAATCGATTTTTACCCACTGACAATACTCACAGTACAGGGGATATACGTATATACCTCTTAGAAAGTGAATTTATTTCAGAGAAGTCTGTTCCGTATTATTTTGTAGCTATGAAAAGTGTACTCTAAAATTGGAAAATATACATAAGTTCCTAGCGTTTAGCCATAGATATTTCCCAAATGTACACACATTAGTATACGAGAGATGAAAATGTGAAATAAAGACTGCTGGTTAAAGTAGTGATTTGGTGGACTGGGTCGTGAACTTTTATAGACTCAGTTGGCTAAGGTTTATTACATGTCTACCATTTACTCTGACAAATTAAACTGGGTAACATAAGAATATGTCGGAAAAAAGCTATGTGATCAAATTAAAACTTGGCATCAGTAATTAAAGTTGCTGGTTAGTAATCTAAGGGGGGGGGTATCGTAGGGGCCATAGTTTCTTTGTGAGGCTCACGTTGATGATCGTGGTAAAATAGCTTAAGATCGTTGGCGTTGCCATACCCTCCATAACTTTCGCAATCCAGTTTCATTCATTTCTCGATTCTACTAATTCTTACTATTGACCACTGGAAATAGCGTTACGGCTACCCTTATTAGTATTTTGTTACTGTCTTCTTTCTCTGTACTTATGTGAAGAGTTTAATAACTTTAGCCAAATTATTATTATTATTGGCTCTACTAGGCACAGCTCTACTTACTTTGCTTCGACTCATAATTTACGTATGAGGGTTAGTAATACTGTGTTTCATCAGACTGAAATATGTGGGGCGGGTCCTAACCTAGGATTTAGTATCTAAAATCCAAACACCTTAGTCCAGTCTGGCCGATACATGCATATTGTGCAGCTAAATCTTTAGATTCTGATCTAAATCTAGAAGATGCAACGTTTAACGACCCGAACGGAAATCACTTTGAACCAGATGGTGTAAAATCAAGAGTCACTTATAGAAGTTCATAGGGATATACATGCCAGGCAACCAACGAAACTAGAAAGAAGCGGCAATATGGGCGCAATAACAGATTATTCGAAAGCGACCGTCCAAGACGTCGATGGATGTTAGTGATTGGCATCCCATCATCCTCGCAGATTGTTTCACTCACACCAGACTTCTTGCTGCCAGTGGCTCGGATGAGCTGGAAGAGCTTCCGGTAATTACCAGATGCAGCTGCTGCTTCCAGCTCATTAGCACGCTTCGACCACCAGGCTTCTCGGTCCTTACACAAGCTTTGCCCGATTTCCTTACATAACATCCTTCGTTTATGGTCAAACTCACGGTCACCCGGAGTAGACCGACGGGCTTCAATGAGTTGTAAGGAACCAGAAGAAACCCAGTGCTTAAAAGCGGGACGTTTCGCAAACCCACAACTGACTGTTCCCGCCATTTTCATGGCGTCATGCAATTGCAACCAATGCTCATCTATACTTTTCGGTGGAGTGGTAGCTAGCCTAGAGGCTAGCTCGGTTCGATACTTACTCGCAACAGAAGTTCCAACCAGCTTGCTAATATCAATCCGTTGATGGCGGTCACTTCGTTGGCCACTGAAAAGTAAGGCAAGATTGGCGCAGACCAAGGCATGGTCAGAGTCCAGATAGGTACTCCAAAAGGAGCGGCAGTCTTTTACACAACCACGCCAGCGGTAGCTGATCGCGATGTGATCAATCTGAGTCCAGGCTTGAGATGCAGAGGGAGGACGCCAGGTGGCACATCGGCGATGACTGTGCCGAAAGTTAGTGCTAGCCAGAAACAGGTTGTGGTCTGTGCATAGTTGCAGTAGACGGTCCCCGTTATCTGACCTGCGACCAACGAGTCCCCATCGGCCACCTAAACGACTCTCTTCTGTGCCTAGACGCCCGACCTGAGCATTCAAGTCTCCGGCTAGTACTACAATATCTGTCGAACGCACTTTCTGGAGAAGAACAGATAATTGGTGGTAAAACTCATCCTTGATTGCATCCGGGCTGCAATCTGTCGGGGCATAGGCGGAGATGACGAAAAGACATCGTTTCTCACGCCGATTTCTTCTCACTTTGATGGAACTTTCTAATCTAACAGCACATAACCGACTGTTAATGGGGATCCAATCGACTAGTGCTGCCTCAGCTCTAGCGCTTAGTGCGACACCAACGCCTGCAAGACCAGACGAAGATGCCACAGGGTCCCCGGATAAGCGCACGTAAAACAAGCTTTTTGAAGTGACAGATGTAGAGCGAATTTGTAGTACTTCGCTAGAGTCTTGAATACGGGTCTCGGATAGACAACAAACATCAATATTAAGACTTTCCAAAGACATAGCCAGCCCTATCTGTTGACCATCTTGAAACACCGACTTCGGTGGCTTGGACATGTTCTCCGAATGTCGTCCCAGAGAATTCCACGTCGTGCATTATTTGCCGACTCTGGGACTGGTTGGAAGAAGCGGAGAGGTGGTCAGTGCATGACATGGTGTCGTGGCATGAAAGAAAGCTGCAAAGGACTGGCGTGTGTTGGTTCTTCACGACTCCCTGGTTGGGGTCTGAGAGATGGTGCTACACAGTGGCTAGAGACGTTATCAGATATGGCTCAGAATAGAAGCCAGTGGCGATCCTGCTGTAACCTTCTTTTACTTTCTTCATAAACAGTGGTTGTGTCTCCCTTACCTGAAAGATTTCTTCCGATTGTACCTTTGCGTTCCCTGATTACTAGCACATTACCTTACACCAATCTCTTCGTTATTGTTCTCTCTTTTTTTTGTTGCGCTCCTTAGCTTTTTTTTTTCTTTGTATTCCTCTCGAATTTTCATTGTTTTGTGTGGCGCATATATATTGGCGCTCCCCTGTACCAATATTCATGTGTCCAAATAAATAAATAAATAAATACGTATGCAGTCAGTGGAGTATAGGGTGTTTTCAAGCAATCAGCTAAATAGTCGAATGTATGCAACATGAAAGTGACTAGAATACAAAAAGACAAAAATATTTCAGATGATTTACCAACTTTCATGAGTCAGATCAAGTGTTCAATAGTATGCAATATATATATCCTGCGTTGAGTATACCTGTCTATTGGAAAACTCGCAACTCAATGGGTTCTATTTATCAACTAATTGAATTTGTTAAAAAATAAACCTATTAAGTAATTCAACAGACTATAAGTAAGTAATATATTTGTAATATCCCAATGAGTAAAAAGATTAAATTAATTTTCATTTGGCTTACGCTGAGTCACAAAACATCAGAAAACCTAACTTTTCTACTCATTTGAATATTACAAATATATTATTTATTTATAACAATCTACCCAATGCTCAATTAATTAGAAATTATCAGTTCAACAGACTGTTTAAACTTCTGTGCAATTTTTAATCAAGCAAGTTTCGGACAGTTGTGTCAGTCCACTTAAAATATATTTCACATTGGTACGATAAAAGTTTGTAAAGAAATATTAATGACTAATTTTTTTGAAACCAATCGTATTCCCCTCCGAATAAATCCATTAGCTTAACTGATCTCACAAATGCTTACTGTCTAAAATAACAAATGGATAATGACTATTTACGTTGTGAATATGTCAAATGATATAAAAGTCCAAAGATTATAAATCGATTCCGTTTGATTTTGGTTGGTACTCACCTTATCACTAATACTGTCATTATGTTAATCAATTTTAGTCCATGGTTAATCACAAGGTGAATGAAGATCGTTCTCTGAAAGAATTTGATGACTGGCTAACTAGATCATCCAGCCTACACACTGCATATCCTGGAAGAAGTTTATTGAAAATTTCAAACAACTTAAAATTTGGCCAACGTGGTATAATTGCTTGTTGTGAAATAAAAGCAAAACAATGCTGTTATTCTGTACCATTAAATGATTTACGCTTAATTCTTACACCGTTACGATGTGCTTATCTACTTAATCATTGTCCATGTTTTGAACATTCCAAACGTTATCAAGCTAATTTAAACTCTATCGATACTCTTATAGCTTTTATTTACCATTGTAAATACTCAACTTCGACCAAATGCATCCTAAGAAAGATTTGGGCACCTTATCTATCTGTTCTGCCAGAAGTTTATTTGGATCCATTATCTTGTATCTTATTCGATACTGACTGTTTATTTGAGAGAATATTGACAGTTAACCCTTCGCACTATTTTCATTCAAATGATGTAAATATTAAATTACAACGTTTGCTAACACGACTGTTAAGATCGTGGTATTGCATAAAACCAATTTTTACTAATAACAATGATTGTACAAAAGGTTTGCACTATAAAGGTTATAGCATTCCGCCAAAAGAATTTCTATGGGCTTGGTGTACCGTGAATTCACGTTGTGTCTCATGTCCTTTTAAAGAATCTTTATCAGAGGTTCAACATCTTTATAATCTGCTAATCAGTTTTGATTTAAAAGATTTGAGCTTTTGTAACGATTTTGAAGTTGTTTCAATGTTTATGAATGCGGAGAATAGCCACACAGTCGCTTTGATACCATTTTTTGATTTTTTAAATCATGGTCAGAATGTACCAACCGCTCTATCATTGTCTAAAACAGAATTATCATTGGAATTATATTTGGAACGTTCAGTATCTGCAGGTGAACAGGTAGTCTTTTGTGTTTTCTCTTTATAATGCGAAGAATGTTATCATTTACCTTTTAGCTGTAATATTATATACTACTAAACAATAAATATGATGCGATATAATTTACTGTAATCAGTCAATCACAACTATTGGCAAATTAGACTCCGAATGTGTGTAAGTATGCGGTAGGAAACCCTGCATAACCTGGACTTCACGCTAGTTTGCTGCCACTCGTCAGCAAGATGCTTAACTGTACGGTCTTGAGGGAACTGATACTCCACGTAACTTTCTCACATCACCCAACTACATAGTCTGGGACGTCATCACTAAATTATGTAGGCTGGACTAAAGAGCTAGACATTCGTCACTATTCACTGCCTTCTAGTTGCAGAGGTGTTGTTTACGAGAGGACGAAAACCGAGTGTCCGGCGCTTTAACCGGGTCGGTGGATACGGAGAGTCCACCTAGGAGGGTTGCAAAGCCCTGATTCCAAACCAATGGTGCACATGGGCTCCAATACCCTGAGGGAACAAATGGCGTATGAACCAATCGTTGGTCACCGGCTACCATGGGACTGCATCTCCTGACGTTGCTCCACTGCCTTGTGGATCAGACTTTGAGGTAGAAGGCTCCGGGTATGGCCCCTTAAGAAAACCACCTGCTTCGGTTTGGGCACCCGGGCAGTATCATAACCCACACACAAATCAAGTGAGTTGTGTGGCGTATATGTATTCAATGCCCCTTTTTACCAATATTTATGTGTTCAAATAAATACATTCACTGACCAATCAGTTGTACAGTTCACGATAATACTTGTAACAACTGAATAGTTTGTATACAGTAAATTACTGTATTCTGTTATAGTTTTTATTGATAGCCCATAAGCAAAAAGTAGGAAACATGATCAGTTCAACATATTGCCGTGTACTAACACCATTTATAATCACTTGTACATTTCTTCATCTCGACTCAGATAAACAACCCTATCAATAATACGGAGTATTCACGTAGATCATGCGGCCAATAAATTGCCAAACAGCCTCTGTTATTCATTAAACTCTGGTCCGCAATTCAGAAACCGGATGGAACTACACAGAAAACTCAAAATAAAATTACACACTATGCCTTCAATAACTTACCAACTCCTCCAACAATTCAGTAGGATATTCTCTCTAACAGTCAAATTTTTAACTTATGTTTCCTTGATAAGTCTAAATAGTTTCCAACTATTACTTATGGTCACCACCTTTCCCATATCTTTGATTCTCGTTGTCCACCACTGTTCATGATCATTGAGTAGGCTTTTTAGCACCCTTCGCCTAAGCTGCCTTCGCTGCTCATCGTGTTTGAAGCCTATATATATAAGCAGTCGTTATGGAAATTTAATAATTCTCAATAAATTCCCATACTAATAACGTAAATTAACCAAAACCAAATTAGTAACTATTCAAAACCCGGTTTCATTGTTTTGTTTTATTTGTTTTATATCCTGTTGATTATTTTTGTTTCTAATTTCTCCTAACTTCCAGGTTTTAATCAATTACGGAGCACATGATAATTTAACTCTATTCACAGAATATGGTTTCATTCTTCCATTCGATGAGAAAAGCACCAATGAAGTGATTTACTTAAGTTACTGTTTCATCATGGATTTATTTCATAATTTAGTCGATTCATTCATAACATTGACTAGTAGTATTAGTATTAGTAGTAGTAATTCTGTTACTGTATCTAATCCAATCGAATCGTCAACTGATAATCAAACTGTCGAGAATAAATTCAAGATATTACCACAAGTCTACTATTCATTACGTCTTTATTTCCATCGAATTCTTGAAAAGTTAGATCTATCCCTACCACATAATTCCACTGATAACGATGACGGTAATGGCAATGATGATGATGATATTACATGGAGTTCAGTTTATTTATCACTTGATAGTAATAATAATTTTGGTCCATCCTATCACCTAGGTTTAATATTATTTTTAATGTATACATTTATGAGTAATATACATAACAATGATAATCAACAACAGTGTTATCAATCTCTTGATAATTTGTATAATATTTCAGAAGACACTATTTACTCAACTATTCAAACATTATCAAATCGAATTTATACGATCCTTTTAGAACAGCTGAAACATGATCGGGAAAAAATCGTTCATTTAATGAATAATCCCTCCTGTCAGCACTATTCGTCAACATTGGTGTCATCTACTTTAGCGACATCTATTTGTTTAGTAAATAAATTTTGTAAAGATTTTTTATATTATTTTGATCAACGTGAATGTTTTATTAAAAGTTTAATGGGTAGTTAATATTGCTATATTATTGTATGTATGCATGTGTGTATGTATTGTAGGGAACATAATTGCCCTTTTCATGTGTATGTTTATTTTAAAAGGTCTCAACTGACTTGCATATCTTGTTATATATTGTCCTTGTTCACTTATTTGTGTTATTTTTATTGATTGAGTTACACTTCTCTCGTCTATTTTTTTAAAATACAGATTACCTCTATGTGTTTGTACCTAGTTGTACCGGGACAGACGTATTCACTCCTTGCCTTCCTCTAGAACCTGAGTCTCGAAATCTTAAACCTTTTTTTCTTTGTATATACTTAATATCTTCTATTAGTATGGGATTTGTCTTAGAATAATTTTATCTTGCTCTACTAATATGGTATGTATGACGACCTGAACATGTGTCAGATTCTACGTTGCATATAACCGACTGAATATTGTACCGGTGTCTATGTGTATTTTCACTTTTACAACTGATCTATTGACAGTTTCCAATAAAATAATGAAACAGAATAACTTATTTTTCTACGAAACCACACCCTCCCCCACACTCCCTTAACATATTAATAGCGTTATTTGTTTGAAAATTGGCTTAAAATTAACATATCTATGTAGCGGTGACGTTTTAATGGGGAAGACGTTCAACTTTGAACGAATAGGCCGCAAGCTCGAATCCTTTTTCCGTTTCCGAATGGTTATTACTAGCCTTCACATACACGTAATGCAATCTAGTTTTCTATGTCGTAACAAATGTATGTGGTAAGAAATTTTTTGTTTGTTCCGTCTTTAATTCAATAATCTCTACTTATTCAACCGATGAGCTAGATATTCTTTACCCATCTTCATTACTATAAGTCAAACTATGTTGTAATCATTCGCATATCAGCTGAATAGGTTATCCTAAAGATACAACTTGTTGAGGTGTATCAACTAGCACGAAACATGTATAAAATAGAGCTACTTCCTGCCGTTTGCCTTCAAACACCAACTAACATTTAGACAGTCTTATTCATTTCATTGGTTACGTGAAACAGTATCATATGAAGCTGATGTGTAGCAACATTTCCTTTTCAATATAACAGTCAGTCTCAGTTATGATAAGAATGACTGAGTATATGGTACGTAATGACAATAAAGACCTGTGTATAAAGGGATATTGAAAAACAAGAATGCATCTGTGCTATCGTGTTTGATTTCGAACCATGCCGCCCAAAATATCTAACCATTTTTACTATAACGTCACTAGGAATATGAACAGTACTTTGGTTCTCATCATCCATTAACTGATATATATTAATATATTAGTTATATATCGAAATTCTATTTGTAAAATAAACAAATCAACGCTATCGTTTACTAAATTGTGTTGGGGTTTTTTTGTACATGTTCGGATTTTTGAGGTAATATTGATGTAAGTTATTTTGGAGAGTTTGAATTCTTTCCTCCACTTAACTTGAAAAACATAAACGTAAGTGGTGGATAAAAATAAATATGACAATATTCTAGAAATTCAAAAGAGGAGATATTGAGTATAGTGATGGTAGTAATATCAATATAGTGAACAACTTATAACTTAAAATGTAATGTAATACTCTTCTTGTCCCGTTGCTCTTAAAAGGCTTACGTATATAAAGGAAAACGGCAATAAGTTTTTGGGTAATTTCCATTATGTTTAGTAGATCTCAACTAATTGGGTTGTTTAATCTCTGTGACAAGACCGTGGGTACATGGAATACCGCATATATAAGCTAACATTTCACAAATGTCATTCGTTCTACGTTTCTATGCCATAAATCAATCGCTTTCGCTTGTTGGCTACAGCCTGGACGTATAATAGAGAGATAATTGCTTGACCTTCAACTAGTCGATCTCAACTCCGAAACACACTTCATACACCTCAGTTTGGGGAGTTGATTATTATCATTAGGCGTACATAAACCTGTACTTGGCAAATGAGTTAAGTTACATTACACAATTATCAGTATGAAAACTACTGCAATGAAATAAACAAAGTGTACGCGAGCTTCTCATCTAAATTAATTGTTGTAATCAAGTTCCGAATAACAATCTTTATTATTCTCAATAATATTTATCAGGTTTCATTACTACTCATATAATATTGCCATTAAATGTGAGTATTCCTACAGAAACCACCATCGTCAATCACATTAAGCATATGAACGCTCTCATCGTGGTTACGTCAGACTGCATATGCCTGAAGTAAAACTACATGTTCTACAAACACTAGACAGTCAGATTTCTAGAAAGCATAACATGTTAGAACAGAAATTCCACATCAAGTTTTAGTTTAAGTACCAAAACAGTCATTTAGCTACAACGTAAGACCAGGCACATATATGCATTGGTCCAAGTTGTCACACCTCATTAGCACAGCAATATGAACATCAGATTCATAGAAGTAGTTAATTCAATGGTGGCAATATATAAAAGAAAGATTGCATATAAGGACATAGTACAGGAAGAAAGAATTAGTTCATGGAAAGAAGAGTATGGAGCGGTTTTAATCTCACGGTTTAATGGAGGACAAAGAGTGTATACGCCGAAGCCATTGTGACCGATTCTGAACCATATCGCACAAAGTCACCAACCATTGGTTATGACAGTCACGCGGACCCTAACCAAGTAGTCTGCATCTGCCAACATGGCTCGGACTAGAAGTTAGTGAACTCAAGCACTGATCTCACGTTTTGGTTTGGCCGCCCCTAAGTAACATAACAATTCGCATTTCTTTTTGTAAAATATCACATAATGCTGCTTTATAAGTAATCAGTAGTTAATTGAGCGCTCGAGTGAGATAAAGTTTGTATTCAGCTGGGATATTAATTTAATGTTTATACTGTGTAAATTCTATCAGAGTTCAACAGCACGATTGAGATACTCGTGATACCAAAGTCCAAAAAGCAACTATTTCTCTAAGGAATGGGTTTATTAATCAAGGAGTAAACGTAAATTGGTTGCAAATCTCAACTGGTGAGGTGTCTCTGGCAGTTAACGCGTCTGTGAGTCTGGAAAGAGAAAGGCTTTCTGTCATCACAAAATAAAAAGCAATTACAATACACGATGTCGTAAATGACAGCTGGGAGATGTGTCTAATGTCAACCGAAATGCGAAATAAGTCCACACAAATATGAAATCTGTCTTGTTCAAACAAAGATTGAAGTTTACAAAAACTAGGAATAACTGTTACGAGATACAGAGAAAGTAATTAAAATAATAATTATATTGTATGTTATTAATTGATTTAAATACTTTAGGAAATTACATAACAAATAAACGTGCGTTACACCATGCATTCATAAACTATTAGATATTGGATTGTTTGCTGAATATTAACAAGTAGTGTAAAACAATTCACAATCATTCGATTAAGGTAAGAATAAGGACAGAAGGCAAAAGAACCTAACATTGTCTGAAATAAGTACTTATACACAAGTTTATTGAAATGTTCGATCGTCTTTTGTGTAAGTAAACTGAATTATCGACCAGTGTCTTTTTATCATCACACAATAAGCGCAAAAATAGTTATTCGGTCTTAAGACACTTTAGACGTATGAGGATTAGTGATACTCTACCCGATGACTGCATATACCGAAATAGATGGAACAGAGCTCCGACTTACTACCTGACGATTGAAAATTTAGTGCTTTAACCACCAAGGCTGTTCATTTGACCTATTCAATTTTGAATCTGAATGTAGATGTTAAATAGATATTCAGCCTCATCTAGGCGAGGTAAAGTTGCATATAAAAATTTCCGGAAGCAAATACACGATATTGCACTACAATCTCTAATTGACTTCGGTAAGTAAATGCCTCAACCTGACACGGTTGAATATTTATTTCAGAGTATCCCGGCAACAACCTGTAGTGCTTCAAGGTCGAAACTATAAAGTGAATTGGAATTACCATCAGATATGGGCTCAGTTGCAAGTTTATATGAACGAATCATAGTTTAGTATAGTAAGGATTAAAGTTAAATCAAGAAATTGTATACAATATTGCAACATACATCATGTATTAGAAAAGTACCCTCGAACATCTTGATAGTCTCGAAAGACTGAATTGTTGAAAATAAAAGAGTGCGCACTGGACACAATACTGATAGGCAAAAAATAAATTGAATAACATTTAGCTAACTAAGAATAAAATTTCTTCGCTAGAAGAGAGTCGAAAAAAGTAAAAATGACAACAAAATAACCAAATGCGCGACGTCACTTAGCGGGAATTGTATAATCGGGATAAAGGAAGGTTGTGGTGGACCGAACAATATATAAGCGCAAAAGTATCATTAAAGTTAATAACAATCAATAGTAATATTAATATTTACAAGTTAAATGTTACAAATACAATAACAAATTAGGGACGTTACTTAAATCGGCTAGTCGTTGCGTGTTCTGTTGAGTTTTGGTCTCAAAATTCCACAATTATAAATGCGTAATAATTCCACAGAGGTAAATATGACGCCAATAAGTTTCTTTGACGTAGGATATAATGGAAATGACACTGCAGTCTGAAATGAGGATAATATCCAGTTTAGAACGCAATTGACTTGGTAACGAACGACAATAGAACAATGGGTATGTGCGTAGTAGTGTATTTGTGAACAACCGAAAATGTGTGTCACGCTATGTTCGAATTACAACGGAAAAAGTGTTCAAGGTCGTTGACTAAAACAACACGTACAGTCATTTAATGATAAATGTACATACAGTGAAAAATTGACAAAACAAATAGAAATAACATTGAAAACTATTTACAAAATAAGCTTGTCAGGTCTATCTCCACAGGGTTGATAATGTTTACTTTTTTGAATAAATAAACCAAGAATCTGGTATTTGATGGCTATGGATTCTGTAAATTTCTTAGAATTAGTGCCTAACTGTTTACTAATCATCAAAGATTCATTTGTGTCGATCCGATTTTCTATACTACAATGATGTTCAGAAATTGCACTGTTCAACAACCTGAATCCAGATAATTATTTACTTTTACAGAGTTAAATCAGATATTTCATTAAAAAAAGCTATATTTATTGGTTATAACAGTTTGATATTATTATTTTTTAAAATTGTATTATCTACAAGTGCCCAATACTACCCTGTTCAATATAACTGAACTTAACTATTGATCATTTGAAGCAAAAAATGTGGAACTCAGTGCGTTTATTTTTGTTGTATAATAAATCTTGATCTATCATTTGCATTACCTTTTCATTGAGCCATACCAGTTGCTTTACTCTATTAGAACATGAAACTAATGATTGTGAATACATTTTTAACTAAATGCACCAACGTATATATGATGATTAAAGAATGATCAGTTGTGTAAAACTGTTCGACTTTCTGTTCTCGTTAGCTTTCACTGTCAAACAGATGTGAATTATTCAGCTTCTGACCATTTGGATGGTCAAGCGTAACTTGTAATTTTATAATACCTCAATCGACTATATGTATTGTTTCTGATGTTTAAATGT